GTAGAGGCGTGACAGAACCGACGGGTAGTCCAGTCGGCGCGACAGTTGGAGCACATCCAGAAGATCGACCACGTGTCGTCCCGGTTCCGGTGCCGCGACTGGTTCCTGTGCTGAAAACCAAACAAAATTCCGACTGCGTCTGAAATGCAATCTGACTGAAGAAGCCACAAGATCACAGTGCAAGCTTCTGGGACAAAATGTACATGAAATTATTTGAATCAATGTACTGTAGATGTTGCTTTGCTTTGTACTCTATACAATCTGAATGTTTGTGACCTGGGCTACAGTAGCATGTTACCATTGATAACATGAGCTAATGCTAATGACCTGCTGACTAATTTACTCAGAACTTGAAATCATCTTTTCTTTAAGCTTAGTGGTAACTGTAGAATGAAGAAAAACATGAGCTAATACTATGATCCTTTATCTTCACATTTATTGGCACATATTTTTTTGGTATTATTATTTTATCTCACTATTTTCTGGTTGCTTCCTAGCTTTTCTTGAAGAACAAATATTAAATTGTGATTTCATTTGAGACCTCGCCATCTTATAATGAAAAATCTATAAGAACATTCAGTTGATGTGTCTCTTCAAACTTATATAGTGGGGTTTAGACTGTTTTAGGTGAAACTGTGAAAGGGGTGTGATATGTTTGATAACATTCAAATATGGAATTTTGAGAACTTATATATGTGTATTAGACCAGTAGGTGGTCAGATGTCTTTGATGTTGATTCAGTAATGCCTCACAAGAGTCTTGGAATTTTGTAGCTATTCTATCCGAGTGGCAATAGGGATAGATGTCGGTGATGTATTTAATCTCGGTACATTGTAGGAGACCTCATCGAAATTTAAACTTGCAGAGTTTATGAAATGCATCCAAATCATTGCACGTATATGTGGATTTGACAATTTAATCTTTAAAGTATTCACATTTGAAGTCTAACAAGACGTGCATTGCACGTGCACACTTACTAGTACTAATAAACAATCCAATATTATCTTTTCTAAACGCACCCCATAAACGTACTTTGACCCATTACCACCATATGATTAGTCCACTAAACTAAATCTAAGGGCTAGACCTAACTTAATATTTTTTTCTATGTGCACTTAGTAATTTACGTTGATGACTGACCGTGCTTCACCTCTCCACACCCACGCCTACGCCCACACGTCCCTAACCCCTGCAATCACGCAAACAAAAAAAGGAAACCGCCGGCCATCCAAAAACACGGAAACAACCCAGGAATAAAGGAGTCTTCGATCTCGACCGCCGCAGCGATGTATTTGTCCAGCGGGGCCGGCGGGGGCGGGGGTGGAGCGACGCTCTCGGAGATGTACATGAGCGCGCCACAGCTGCTGCTCTCGGCCCGTGACGGCATGGCCATTGTCGACCGGCGACGTCGGTGCTACGGTTACCCCTAAACGTTGGACGGCAGCGACTAATGGCTGGCGACGAAGGTATGCAACGGCGGCGAGCTCGGGCCTGCGGGGCCGGGCGACGCCTGCGGCATCCCTGGTATGTCGGGGCGGTTCAGTGGAGCTCGCGCTCTGCGGCCATGGCATGGCAACGACCGCAGCGAGGCACGACGCCTGGGTGTGCCTCGCGCGACGCAGCGGGCAGCAGTTGGGACGTTGTGGCGACGGCGGAACACGTCTATATGCGTTGCCGCGAGGCCGGGGCTCGGCGCCCGTGCAGGCGCATGGCAGAGGTGCCTGGCAGCACGCTCGACCAGAGACCGACAGCCGCGTACGAAACTCCAGTTTCTGCCTCTTTTAAACTGTGTGTAAGATTCAAGCCACTGTTTTTGATATGGTGATGATGTTGCTAATGTTCTACATGTTCCTGTGGCACCACCAGGTGTTTAGTTGGCTGAATCGGAAGATGCATTCCAATGTTGAGTATTGCACTATCTGCACTAACTGAGTTACAGCAGTCTTGCAATTTTTAGTTTGGTTCGGTAGCTGAGCATGGTTGAATGGTTACATCAGAGTATATATAAATTCATTGGAATTGGAAACCATACAATTTATTCTTCGAATCTTTGATCGAATTCATCAGTATTCGATCGCAAAAGAAAGGAGCAGGCACATACTACGGGATAACATGTCAAATAGTAAGATAAAATCATATTCACAATACCAGGCAGTTATTGGCTCCATATAATATTTCTTACATATCAGAAAGCACCAAACTTTGTTGGTGACACATTGAAAGATGTGGTAGTGCTACTACCAGTTTGTTCAAGAATGCTTCCAGCACACCTGACGGTAATGCATGTTCTGGTCATGAGATCTGCCCTTTTCGTGACACCAGAATGGCTCATCGTACGGTGTCCTTGTCACTGGTTCAATTCATTTGTTAGGGTACAAGCTATTTACTTCCAAACATCTTAATATCTGTTACCACACAAATTGCTTGAAGTTAAGAGTGTAGACTAACGAAATAGGTTTAATTGAAATACTCCTTAAATTATATATAACCAGTTTAAGTTGATCTTATTACTACTATTTGTTTTCCTGAGATGTGAACTACTGTGACTAGAAAAACTGTTCTAATTTTCTTTTGAATACATAAGCTGCATCCTTTCCCATCTGAATAATAGGGGACTAATGTGAACAGGTCATGGAAAATCTACGTTTTCTTATGTTCTGGGTGACCTTCCGACAAAAATATTGTTCGAATTAGGTCATAGAACTCATTGGAAAGATAACTGGTGCTAATTATGGTCACCGTCAGGAAGCAAACCCTTTTAAGTTGTCGCAGTTGGTAGTGACAAAAATAGTTCTGCAATTTTTTTAAATGATTGTGTAGATACATCCTGTTCTTCAAAATATATGTGCAGTTTACATGTTTGATGCATAATAAGAACATAACAAAAAGTAATTCAGATATTTCAAACATTTTCCTTACTCTTTAAAGGTATTTGAATCCATGTCAAGGAAACAAACAAGCATTGACCTAAAAATTCAATCATCTATAATTTAAGCTAAATGTTTTTTGTCCTTCCGGCATTCCTCGTTTTTTATGGATCAAGTTGAAAGGAAGAGAGCCAAGTAAACTCTAGATATGTTTTTGTCCCTTCTTATTCACAAACGCAGATTGTCCAAGCAATTGAGAAGGCTATACTGGATCTTGATTTTCTTCATTTGTTCGATCTTGGTACTGCTTTATGATGAAAAAGATTCAACACTTTTCATAATCAAGATAGACAGGGGTACCATCCAGCCATAGCCTCTCATGAGTAACCTCTACTTGCATCTGGTTGTTTAGAAACATGGAAAAGGTAAATTAGATCTTACTCCCTTCATTCCACAATGTAACTTGCATATCTTCCAATTCCTCATAATTCCCTTTCTTAGCCCTCAGAGAAAAGGAAACTATCTCTCTCCCGATTGTTTGTATCTCTCCTTGTAGGAAAACAAGGAAAGTATATCTGTCCTGGTTGCCTGTATCTCTTCGTTTTCTTCCTAATTGATTTACTTGCCACTAATCAATGAATTAATCAATGGTATTTTCGTCCTCAATTCTTGTAAATTCCATGCCTTGATCACCGTGTTTATTAAATTTAAGAAAATATAATGGTGTCAACTTGCTCTATTTACTCTCCTATAATATATTGAGCTTTTTCCTCTGTAGATGGTGTGTGTACTTCATTGGTTTAGCTTGGACTTCCATTTTGCTCTATACTTATGGATTGATTTTTGTAGCTCTTATGCTACATGTGTCATTGTGCTGATAAAATGCTCACCCCAGCATGTAGAAGTCAATCCATATGCATATCCAACACTAGAAAGTAGAAATTGTGCTAGAAGCAAAATCATATGAGTTGTTCTGGTGCTCTGTTGGGTTTGTTTGGATGCGTGGAATGGATGTGTGATGTAGAAACCTGTTTCACTATAGTATCTACGAAACTTACTACTTATGATGTTTTTTTCCTTGCTGACTTACTCTTTGTTTGGTAATTTTGTTTGCAGATTTACTTACCCATTTTTGCAACATGTGATGCACTTCAACATGCTACGATCTTTGATTTCCATTTTAGGACCTAAGTGATTCAAGAGTAGTAGTATATCATGGAATCTCCCTGTGAGTGTTAGTTCCTGTGACTATTTAAATAACATTCTTCATAGGCCATGTCATTCTCTGCCTGATTGTTTGCGTGATTTATTAATGCCTTGATGGGTTATGATTCTGCACTAAAGTTGCACGGCGTCACTCAATGTTGTCTTCGAATGATATCCAAAAACACGAGCTTGGCAAATACATTGATGTTTCTCTGGGTACTATTTAATGAGCTTGTAATGTGTTTTTATTGAATTGATATCAAGTTGAGATATGTATTGCACTTCTAATATTGTTATTTTTTATTTTAATATTTTGATAATTATTTGATAGTAGTCTAGACGTGCGTTGCACGTACAAGCTTACTAGTCTCAAACAACAATCGCCGGGCCAGTCGCACACAGGCCGGTTGGCCACCAGCTTCAATCTGGAAATTAACATCTGGCGCATCTAGCTTTGTCTACTCCTGTTTTGTGTTCTATAGCTTTGCAGATAACATAAATTTCATAGTGGATCCAATGACCCAAAATTTGAACAATTTTCAGAGAAAAAGTGGAGAAGTCTTCAAACACCCCACAAGAATTTTTGGTATATTATTACCCCTCCAAGAAAGCTTAGTAGTGAAGTAATCTTTTCTTTTTTGAATCATCAATACTTTTTTTTTGCGGGTCAATAAATAACTTTATTCCTCAAACAATTTTTGGAAGATTTTGTTGTATATTATTACCCCTCCAAGAAAGCTTAGTAGCGAAGTAATCTTAGCTGTGAAGAAAACATGGCTATGCCTTACCGACCTCACAAAGGCTGGGATACACTCTGAGGCCTCGTTAATAAATAGTCCACACAACGCACGTTCGTATCACCCACATTTTGCCCTAGCTTTTCACGCGGCGCCCACCCCAGCTTTTCACGCGGCGCCTTCCAGCGAGATGGATCTGACACAGGTGCTGCCGGAGGAATTGCTCGCCGATGTGCTCCGCCGCGTCGCACCGCGCGGCCTCGCCGTGTGCCGCTGCGCCTGCAAGGCCCTGCTGGGCATCATCGACGCACGCCGCCTGCTGCGCACGGACCTCCTCCCGCACTCCGTCGGCGGCATCTTCATCAACGTCCACAGCGAACATGTGTCGGAGTTCTTCGCCCGTCCCTCGACGGGCCCCACCATCTCCGGCAGCTTCGACTACCTGCCCCCTACCGATGGGCGCTCACCGTATCGCGGTATAATACAGGATCACTGCAATGGCCTTGTCTTACTCGAAGATTATTCCGAGAATTATTATGTGGTTAACCCGGCAACCAGACAGTGGGATTCTTTGCCGCCGCACCAGTCCATGTCGAAGTCCAAAGTGAGGGATGCAGACTTCAGATACCAAGAGTACCTCGTGTTTGATCCCACGGTATCACCCCACTATCAGGTGTTTGTGATCCCAAATCCTAGGCGCAAAACGAAGCCCGAAGATTTTGGTTATGACAAAAGGATTCATGAATTAGACCCCGTTATGGAGAAATCTGAATGGCCACCATCTGTGTGCGCTTTGCACGTTTTCTCCTCAAGGTCCGGCCGTTGGGAGGAGAGGTCTTTTATTCGAGATGGGAAGGCTGCAGGCACCATCGCTGATATGTGGGGGCACTCCGATTGCTACTATGACAAGCATTATGCTGTCTACTGCCGGGGTGCACTTTACGTCCACTGCAAAACTGATTTCGTAATGAGGTACCTAATAACTTACACATCAGATTTTCTGATTAAAATATTTACCACTTATATGATTTATTAGCATGTTTAATAATGATTTGTTGTGCAGGATCTCTTTATCAAATGATAAGTACCAAGTAATTAAACCACGGATACATGGCGAACTCGGTGAGTGCAGAAAGCTCCATCTTGGACGATCAGAAAATGGGGTCTACCTTGCAACTACTAGTTTTGAAACGTCTCATCTTATGGTTTGGGTCCTTGACGAATCATGTGGCCAAATGAATTGGGTCTTGAAGTATAACAGTTGCCTTCCACCCATACTGGATTATGATCGTCCTGTTCTTGGCCCATGGGTCTTACAAGATGTTAACTATAATGAGTATCTCAAAGAGAGAAAGGAGCGCACTGGAGGTTTTGAAGATACGGAATACATGCATGGAATACCTAAAAGAAAACAAATTAGAGTTAAACTCTGGAAGGGAAAAGCTAGTGGAAGAAAAGTTTGAATGGGACTCTGAAAATGACAACATACTTCATAAGGAAGATGTGGTTGATGCTCATGGCAATGGATACTTTGATATCCTTGGATTCCATCCATATAAAGAGGTTGTCTTTCTGGGTGTATCAATGTACAGAGGAATTGCCTATAATTTCAAAGATTCAAAGGTTCAGGACCTTGGCTACTTATACCCAACCAGTGGCGAATCTAAGGGCCAGGCTTCGCATGGCTTGAGCCTACCCTCAAAAATCGTGAATTGATATTTTACTACTAAGCCTCAGGCTATTTGGCAGGCCCAGTCCAAGTAAAACAGATGCAGCCGGCTCATCTAAGCCAACTAGGCCACGCAGAGCCTACCCTGCATTTCCATCCTAGATTCGCTGCTGTACCCAACAACTTGTCATTTGGCATTGCCGAATGAGTGTTTCATAACCGAGTCATTCCCATACACACCCTGTTGGACAGGAGCACCAGTAAGCAATTAACAAGAATGTAGAAGACAGGGCACCGGTAAGCAATTAACAAGAATGTACAAGGGCAACTTAGAGACTGGTATGCTGGTTGGAACCCAATTGAAGATCACAATAAATGGCCTAATCATGTTTAAGGCCTTGTTCATTTTTATTTAGCACTGGATTTATAATTATCCAATCAAGTGTCCATATTTTCCATATCGATTCTAAAAACATGTGACATAACAGTGTATCATGAGGCAAATGGGAAAATATATCAAATATACTTCATTGCTTTGTACAAAAGCGCCATTGTGTTTCTTTCTTATGTATCATCTATGTCGGAAACCAATATTTCGCTCAGCGGTAACTTTTTTTGAAACTGGGCAAAAGATTTGCCACTTTCATTGATTAAGAAGAAGGTTTAGAGGTTTTGGCCAAAAAGCCGAATTACAACACATTACTCTCGCGGCACTACGTTACTCAAATACTTTGCCCCTGCAAGACACCATAGCTTGGATACATCTTTGATTCGAGCAACAAGAACCCCTACAGGTACCGCGGTGTTACGGAACACACATGCGTTTCTCTCGTTCCAAATTTCCCACGAGATAAGAATAATGAGGGACATCATTGGCCGTGTAGATTGCGACATATTGGAATCAATAAGGTTCCAACAGGCCTTTACCGAATGGATAGCCATCCAAGCAGAAGGGTGCACATCCATCAAGCCAAGCCAAGTCTTGATCATTTCCCAAACTCGAACCGTGTAGCGGCATTGGAACAGTAGGTGGGCCGCGGATTCCTGAACTTGTTTGCATAGGGGGCAACGGTCGCAGTTAGGCCAACCCCGGCGTTGAAGCCTGTCGGCCGTCCAGATCCTGTTATTGATAACGAGCCAAGTAAAGAATTTGCATTTGGGGGGAGCCCAGATCTTCCACACCAATTGTTGCATGTTGGAGTCAACCAAACCCAGGAACTGGGCCTTGTAGGTCGAGGATGCAGAGTAAATGCCATCGTTAGTGAGTTTCCAGGAAATAGAATCAGCCATGTCGTGGTTTAGGTGCACCGTAGAAATCTTCTCCCAAAGGTTGACGAACTCGGTCAGATGTGTAGTGGAGGTGATCCCGTCCGTGTTAATTTGATAGACCCAGAAATTATTCTGCAATGCCTTTTGAACCGAACAGCCCCTTCTTTTTGATAGCTCAAAAATCTTCGGGGCGATGTCTTTGGGCCTCAAACCATCGAGCCAAGCGGACTCCCAGAAAGAGGCTCGAAGACCATTGCCGAGAAGCACCTTGGTGGCCGCCGCAAAAATGTTTTTATCATTCACGTCGCAAGGATTGTCCAAGCGAAGCCACGGCTTCGGCGGATCCGACCATTCTGCCCAAAGCCACTGGATGCGAAGCGCAGACGCAAACTTCTTTAGATTTAATATGCCCAGCCCCCCATGAACCTTGGACTTGCAGACCTGCATCCAGTTGATCTTGCATTTTCCACCAGTGACCTTGTCACAGCCAGCCCAAAGAAAGGCTCGGCGAAGAGAATCAATCTTTTCTAGGACCTCAATCGGCAGGTTTAACGCTGTCATATAGTATATAGCGATGGCCGTGATGATGGACTTGACTAACACCGCTCTTCCCGGAGATGCCATGAGCATGCCCAGCCAAGGAGTAAGCTTGGCCGCAATCTTGTTCTCCAGGGGCTGGAAGTGGATCCTATTTAGCCTCTTGACCGATAGTGGCAATCCATGATACTTCATCGGGAAGGTAGATCGGTTGGCCGGGAAGGAATGTAGTATATCATCAAGGTCCAAGTGGTCACAACAAATGGGGCCAACCATGCTTTTAGAGCAACTCGTGACCAGGCCAGTGACCTCCCCAAAGCACCCAAGGGTTTCTGAGAAGAATTTGATTTCAGACTTAACTGGCGCAAGGAAGACCGCAGCATCATCAGCGTATAAGGAGGCACGAATCACCATCGCATTTCCATCAATAAGGTGCAACTTGCCTTGCTCTGTGGCCTTCTGTAGGATATGGTGTAGAGGATCAATTGCAAGCACAAAGAGGAGGGGGGAAAGGGGGTCCCCCTGTCTCAAGCCACATCCAAGGGAAATTGGGCATCCAGGTACACCATTGAGAAGTACCCTTGATGAAGCGGTAGAAAGCAAGGCCGAGACCCAACCTCGGAAGCGCGGAGGGAAGCCTAGATGGAGCAGCAACTCAAGGAGGTAATCCAAACGAACCGAGTCAAAAGCCTTTTTGATATCGAGCTTGAATAGCAGAGTCGGTTTTTTTTTTTGCGGTGGAAGCGCCGGGCCAAGTTGCAAACATACATAAAGTTGTCATGGATACATCTTCTTTTGATGAAGGCGCTCTGAGCTTGGGAAACAAGGTCATTCATGTGCGGAGCTAGACGGTTGGACATAACTTTGGCGATGATCTTTGTGATGGCATGTATGAGGCTGATGGGGCGAAAGTCGGTAATGTCTTCAGCACCCTCCTTCTTGGGAATGAGGGCAACATCCACAGTGTTTAGCCAGTGCAAATGAGAGGCATGAAGATTTGAAAAGCGATTTTATAGCCTGCATGATATCAACCTTAATGATGTTCCAGCAGCATTTGAAGAAGGCACCGGTAAATCCATCTGGCCCAGGGGCCTTATCACTTGGCATGGAAAAAACTGCAGCCTTGAGCTCCTCCTCAGAGATGGCATCATCCAGTCCATGTAGGTCGCATTAGGAGTAGGAATAATGCCCCAGTTGATATCCGTTTTGCGCAAGGGTCTCTTTTTGGCGATGTTCTTGAAGTAACGATGGATAATATCTTCTTTGTGCTTGTGTTCAGTGACCCAGCCACCATTGTGCTTGAGGCGATGGATGAAATTTTTTCGCCTACGATGGTTCACCCGCAAGTGGAAGTAACGGGTGTTAGCATCTCCTTCTTTCAGATTAGATATTCTCGAGTTTTGTCGCTTTCTTGATTTCTCCAGTACAACCCATCCAATGATCTTCCTCTTTAGCCTTCTCCGGATGTCAGCTTCATCATGGGAGAGTTCTCTATGCTCCTGAGCCAAATCGAGAAGCAAAATCACCTCCAGGGCCATGTGTAACTGTGTCTTTGCATTTGAAAACAGTGACTTGCTCCAAGAGCAAAGCCTACTCGCAGTAGTCCTCAGTTTATGAAAGAGCCTTTGATAGGGCTCCACATGAATGGATTCTTCATTCCAAGCATCAACGACAACCTTTTTGAATCCAGGCATCTTTGTCCAGTAATTCTCAAAGCGGAATGTTTTGGGTCTCCTTGAGCCATCATCATTAGCAAGCAATAATGGACAATGGTTAGAAAGTGAAGACGATAGAGCGTGTAAAATATGGGAGCTGAACTCGACATCCCAATCATCATTGCAGAAGAAGCCATCAAGCTTACACATCGTTGGATTAGAGCATTCATTGCTCCAAGTGAATTTCCGGTTCTGTAGATGAATTTCCTTTAGCCTACAGTTCGCCAAAGTGTTGCGGAACCTCAGAAGCCGGCTGCGATCAACATTAGCACGATTTTTGTCTCTGGCCCGATAAATTTGATTAAAGTCTCCATTGACCAGCAATTTTGTTCCATCGACCGGTTTTTGGGAGGTGAGCTCTAGAAAGAAGTCATCTTTATGAATACTTCTGGTAGGTCCATAGACCGTCGTTAACTTAAATGTCTTTGCATCCGAGGCCCTATTAATTTTGTTGTTGTTTTCCCGGTCCAGTTGGTGGTTGGTTTCATCCTTGTCAATTCTTGTCCTGCTTATATTCTGGTACTCTTGGTCTTGTATGCCTAAGCTTCTCCAGGAAAAGGTTTACGGATTGCAGTGGAAATAACATCCACTCTTATTCTTATTATAACCGAGTTGACAATCAGAATAAATGGCCTGCTCATGTTTATGGCCTTGTTCAGTCTTACTAGCATTGAATTATATATACTTATCCATTTGAATCAAGTTACCATGTGCGGTTCTAAAAACATGATACCTCACAATGTATCACTAAAAAAACATAGAGCCATTTACTTGTTCTGTTACGTTACCTCCTTCAATTCTTTGTTTAATAAACTATCAAGCTACACACATATATGTCTTCTTCTGTTTCATCTACATCGGGAGCCAATATTTTGCTCAGCGGTATCTTGCCCCCCCCCCTCTTAGTTTCGTTGTTGTTTTCATGATCAGTTTAATAGTTGGTTTCATCCTATTTTTTCCTCACTTTCGGTTCCTGCTGTGTCGATATTGTGTTACTTCTTTTGAGCTTAAGCCTCTAGAGAAACATGCTCCGATGGGGGTGGGGAGCTCTAAGAAACAAAATTTCCGATTCTTTTCAGCTTCTCGAATTTTGGCTTATTTCCTGTGATTTGTTGAATCTGCAATGCCACTGAGCTTCAACTTTGCGATGCTGGAAATCCTACCAGCCAGTAGCGAGGCCGAGTGGAACGGGTGGGAACAGGATGTTAGGCCCTCATGCCTCTTGGACCTTTGGAGGGTAAGCGGTGTCATCTTTGCAAATTACAGTCCGCCT